ACTGATACTGGCACATTCCGCCGACAACTTGCTTTTTAGCAACCTTCTAAGAAAGAGTTATTGATAGCCATTACAGTGAGTAGTTGCTATAGCGTTTATTGCCGTTCGAGCTACTAGTGCCTCTCAAAGAAAAGTTTTGATACGATTTGACTTGTGCAAGTAAAATCCAGATAGAAACGCACCGGGCTTGTCGGTGCAATCATGCGTTTTTGCGCCAGACTTGAAATACTCAGGCCTACCTTTTGCGCCCAACAGCGCAAATCGCCATAAACTTTGCATAAAGTAAATAAACAATTTCCATTTAACGGAAATAAACAATTTCCAGTCTCACTGAGCAGCTAGGTTATTTTCAGAGAAAGCTGAAGGTAACCTGGCTGATCAATGAGCAATTTTCCCGCCAAAACTTTTAAGTGTCTGTACGTGAAAACCACGCATGCCTGAAGGCTGAATCTGAAATATTTAAGTTGTTATTGGGCAGGGCACTCCCTTAAATTTCAACTTTTTAGCTTTTCTGGTTCCCGAACAAGTAATTTCCCCACTAAAACTTTCACATGCCCGTACATGAGTACCCCAGATACTTGGAAAGCTGAATTTGAAATCTTTAAATTGCACTTGGACAGGGAACATCGCTGTGAAATTTCAGCCTTCCAGCTTTTCTGGCTACCGAGCCAGCAATTTTTCCGTCAAATCTTTCACGTGCTCGTAAGTGCGAAACATGCACACCTGAAAGCTGAATATGAAATATTTAAGTTGCGCGTGGACAGGGGACATTCCTCCAAAACTTCGTCTTTCTAGTTTTTCTGGTTCCTGAGTCAGTAATTTTATCGCCAAAACTTTCGTACGTTTTTACGTGAGTACCATGCACACCTGGAGGCTGAATTTGAAATCTTTAGCTCAAACATGCGCAGGGAATATCCTGCAAAATTTCAGCCTCTTAGCTTGTCTACTTCCCGACATCGCCTTCCCGCCAAAAAATTTGCATGTTTTTTAAAACGTCCATACGCGGCACCCAGACATAGGCGGGAATAATATTAAAACGGAAGGGTTGCGCATGGTGTGGGCGCACACTCCCAAAGTCTCAGCTTTCTAGCTTTTTTCTGGTTCTCGGGTTGAAAGTGAGTGACAAAAAGTGCGAACACACAGACACACATACCCAGACAGCCTATTGCCAATATGCGTCTTTGCAATTTGCATATACGCAAAAACGCATAAAAAGAATAGTGGGTGGAAAAGTGCTTATCTGTACAAATAAACCAATTCCTGAACGATAAAGGCTTGGAAGCTGGATTTTTGACTTGTGTGTAGTCAGTCATTCATAATACAACCATCACTGGAATCAATATTAGAATCCCTGCGCGTACTTGCTCACCTTCCAACGCTCTGAACCAAATTTACCCCGATATTCTGCATCCAGTTTCTTTTGAGATTGCGCATTGGAAGCAGAGTTTGGTCTTTAACAGCTTTTACTAAAGCGTCAGTTTTTTACCAGTTTAACGCCTAGTGCTCAATTATCTTCATGACAATAGATGTTAGAATCATTTCTTTTGCTTACACATTCTGCGCGATGTATAGCTAGCTTTGACATTACCACTTGAGTCCCAGCTACGCAGTCACTCAGTTACAGAGAGATTTTCCTATTTTGGTATTTACCCCAGTACTATGCCTCTCATACAGTGCTTTTCTACTCACAAATTCAGGAGCGCCATCTTTTAGCGTTAAAAAACATAATAAAATGCCGGAATCGACCGATTTCACAGCAACAGTTTATTGTAAATCCGTGACCTTCGGAAGTTTCAAAATTACTCATAACAAAAACACAAGATAATCTGATTTGGTTCTTGTACTGAAATTATAATGCTTCAAGGTCATGTGCTGGAGAACTCGGTGGTAACAGCAGCACAGCCTCACAGTGAACAAAAAGGCGAACAGCAGAAACATGATTCGGACACTGGGAATTCAGAAAACGATTCCGCACAAGCTGATGACGACGATAAGTCGATCGAAGATAGGACATTCGAAGACCTCGAATTGGTTGTCCTGAAAAGAAAGATCTACAGAGAAGGCGGGAGTGATACAAGTAGCAGATTTAATTGTGAAATCGTATAATTAGTGAAATGACGAAGAAAGCACAGATTTTGTATCATATTTTTACTCTCTCTTTTATTGCTGAGCATAGTACCTATTTTTAGTACCTGTTTTACTATTACGCCACTAATGTTTGCAAATAACTTCTTTCATGCCGGGACACTTGAAAGAGGTATTCCCTGGCAACTTTTTTCTTTCCTACGATGCCACATACTACATCCCATATAAGATTACTTTTATTCCAGTTTAGTCTGTTTCATCCAAATATCTATGATCCCTTTACATTCTTCTCTTCCACCCTACCCCCTTCATTCTATGATTCCCACTCGCCTTTTTCGCAAAATACATTAAACGGCGCAAGTGAGGACTTCGAACAAGCAATATTATTCTTTTAGTTTTCTTTAATTTTTGTACGGAAGGAAACCATTTTTTTTGACTCACCATCGCTATGAGTAATCAGGTAGTGCAAGTGAATTTTACATCGAGAATTATCCATAGCGTAGCACTTTGTAAAAACAGCACAATAAGAAATAGCAGCTCACAACAGAAGGTCAGCGTGTTTATGATGTTTGTGGTAAACTGCTGCAAGCTTTGACACAAAACAAATTGAAACTCGTTTCACCCTCATCTCCCCTGCCCTCGTAATAGTCTTTTTCCTATCTTATCAAATGGTTAAATGCAGCTTTGCCATACGTGAACCCTGAGATATTTTGCAGCACGGCTGCACAATAAAGGACGCAATATTTTTCCTGTCCTGCCTCAGACCATAATGGAGTATGAATATTGATTTTGTTCAACTATAATCATAGAACTATTTCTCATTTGTATTAGTTATTTCAGTAATGCAGACTTTTCGTGGAACTTTTCAACAGATGCAGTACAAAGACACATAGCGAGGCTTTAGAATATAATTATTTCGATTATTCATAGGATGATCTAGAATCGTAATGAAGTACCGAAATAACATTATAAGCGCAAACAAAAGCCTGGGCTGGAAATCACCAGGCTTAGCGCCGCGATCATGCGTTTTTGCATATATGCAAGTTGCCAAAATGCATGTTGGGAAGAAGCTGTATGTGTCTGTGTTCGCAGTTTTTGTCACCTGTTTTCAACTTGTGAATCAGAAAAGCTAGAAGGCTGAAACTTTGGGAGTATGTGCCCACACCATGCGCGACCTTCCCGTTTTGATTTCATCCTCTGCCTACGCCTGGGTGTGGCGTACGGGCGCCTTAAACAAATATGCAAATTTTTGGGTGGGAAGGCGATCTCGGGAACTGGACAAGGTATGGGACTGAAACTTTTTAGAAATATTCCCCATGCGTGTTTGAGCTAAAGTTTACAAATTCAGCCACCAGATATGCACGGTACTCACGTATGAAAGTTTTGGCGGGAAAATTATTGACTGCGTAACCAGGAAAGCTAGAAAGCTGAAATGTTGAGCGGATGTTCCCTGTCCAAATACAGCTTAAATATTTCAAATTCAACTTTCGATGTGCGTGGTTCCCACGTATGGGCGTGTGAAAGATTTGATGGGAAAATTGCTAACTCGGTAACTAGAAAAGCTGGAAGGCTGAAATTTCAGGGTGATGTTCCCGTCCACGTGCAATTTAAAGATTTCAAATTCAG